CATAACGGTCTTGCTATAAGATTCTGCCACGTTCAGAACATGCAGAGCAATGCCTCTTTCTAGTTTCCACGCGTCTTCGAATGCTCCAGCGCATATATTTCAAATTTCGAACATCCCGCTTGCATTTGAATTTCAAATGTTTTGGCACTTCTTCGCTTCGAACGCATTTCTTGGACACAACCTTGTTAACATTTCGAGACTTCTTTGAATATATTCTCATAACTGTCACTCGAAGCTCCAGGCTTTGATATGCCCATTCGAAGCACTGCTTCTACCATTTCGAAACATGACATCTTGCTTTATTCCAATCGAAACGTCCAATTTGCTTTGCTTCTAATAATATCATCAAAATCTTCAGCCAACACACGCTCCCTTGGCCAACTCATCCACGTTGCTTAGTTGTTAATGGGATGGAAAACAAATAATATAAGACAAACAATTAATTATGCCTGGCAAAAAAAAAATAAAAGCGCGCTAATGATTCAAACAAACTAATGGACGCAAGCCACGTCTTCGTCTTCTTCAACGAAGACTGGTTCGTTTACCTGCGGATTTTGTTCCGCAACTAAATCCATGGCATCATCCTACCATGTGCTACAGTCCATATAAATGCCAATGGAGACCACCACTACATTCGTCTCTCTCCCCTGATCATTCCTATACCCATCATTAGCCTTAATTTAACCTGCATAAAAAACGCCTAAAAAACAAGAGCAAGAACCCTAGGTTCGAGCATCATGATGCAGGCCCTAAAAATACAATTGAATAATACCAAAATGTTCCAAATAAAACAACAAACATAAATATGTCAAGATTTTAAAGAAAAGATGCAAGAATTGGAGATTTGGAATCCATGTTCAGAGGTTGGTTCGTGATGACTTACAGTGCAATTTAGGCAATGAGAAGGCTGGATTTTGATTGGTATCGCTTCACTGGATGTCAGGGAAGAGAACTATGTCAAGCTTTTTGACTGAATCGTGCTCCAATGTTGTTTTTGATCTCCCACTTTTCAAGCTTTTTTACAAACTCGTTCTGTCCGTTTCAACAGTTCCTTGTGCGTGTTCTAGGTCTGCCCCTCTTGTGTGCATATAATAGAATGTATTTAGGTCAAAACTTGGGCCATAATCTCTATGCATTGAAGGTTTTGAGATTTGATATGATCAACATTGATAAGCTTTCCATAATTGCATCAAATCTGAGATTTTGTGCTTGTTTTGACTTGGCACGAATTTGATTGAGTGTTATATGATATTTGCAAGCTGTAATGACCACAAGAATCTTATTACATTAATTTTTAGATTTTATTTGATTTAATATTGATTAATAATGAATTAAATCAATAAAAATGAAATAAAATAGAAAAATAGATGAATGTCCATGAAATTAAAGATGGAACACGTGTGTGGCATGACAAGACTATATCAAGTGGGAAAAAGTCGGCCCTTTTGTCAAAAATTGGAGTTTTGAGGATAGTTAACTTTTGGCAAATTTGGAAAAATGCCAAACTTTAACAATGCATAACTTCTTCAATTTTGAACTTTTGGAGGTGTTCTTGGACTTTTTAGAAACCTTAAGATGTCTTCTAATCAACCCTTTTGGTCTCATATCATTTTGATGTTCCATGCTCAAGTTATAAGCTTTGGAAAAAAAGGTGTTTTTGTTGACTTTCAAAAATGACCTATAATGTCCAAATTTGTAACTTTTTGTGAGAGCATTTCTTAATCTTGGGGTGTGAAGATGGATTGTAGGAAATTGCATCCTCTTAAAAATGAACTTTGGATGGGTCATTTATCATAAAGTATGAGAAAGTTATGCTTGGTCAAAGTTGAGTTGACTTTTCCTACAAAACCCTAATTTAGCAACTTTTGAATCTTGAGCAATCCTTGATGAATCATGATCAACCCTTGATAAAATGATGAATTATCCTTCAAAATGAGAATGTTTACAAAAATTCTTGAGGTTTGACTGTATTTGGGACACAGCTGACTTTTGCCCTAGCACGGTCGCTTTTTGGGTCTCTTGAGCAATTGATTGACCAAACTTCCTCTGCAAGGCTTGAAGTTTGACATGGATGAACTTAAGAACATATTAAGACATTGGGAAGCACTTGAGGCCATTTTTATGTAAGGACCTTGATGCCACACAAAACCCTAATTTTGACTTGACTGCCTTAGGAGGTGACTTGACTGTCCAATCCTTGAGCCAACTTGAGCAACTTGAATATTATTCTTGACATGTTTTGAGGAATATGGGAGGGGAAATTTTGGGGTCTTTAAACAAACACATTCAAATATTCACTTAGATGAGAAGTATCAGGTTATTAACCTGAAATATACAACACATTCAAATATTCACTTAGATGAGAAGTATCAGGTTATTAACCTGAAATACATTACATCAAGGAAGAAGAAATGTATCGCAAGCTGTTGGATTCATAAGAATAAATATCTTAATATCATACTTTGGGTGTTTCAAATATATAATTTAGAATTGATGATCCCATTAGTATCAACCATATAATTACCTTTAGGCGTCTAAAGAATGGATCTTTAAGTCTTTTTTTTATGAACATTACTACATGATGTTCAATATCAATTTTAATAATATATGTGATACTAATACAGGAATTTCTAAAAAATTCCATAAAACAATATCTTAGTATAATTATTTGAGAAAAATTATTTCACAAACTTCTGATTTTGAGTAGAAATATGCATGATTTTTTAGTTGATGCAACACTTAATGTCAGGAAAATTCAAGTTCTCAAATTTTCCTTTTGTAAACACAAATTTTATTGGATTGAAGAAACTTTTATTCTTCAAAACTAACTCTCGCATCCTAATACATCTGAGAGGATCCAACCAATTTTTTAAACAATACACTTAAGTGTGATTTGTAAACTTCTGATTTACAATAATATACATAATTATATTCTTCTGATTTGTTTCAATCCATTGTAACTAATAAAATTTTATATATATATATATATATATATATATATATATATATATATATATATATATATATATATATATATATATATATATATATATATATATATATATATATATATATATATATATATATATATATATATATATATATATATATATATATATATATATATATATATATATATATATATATATATATATATATAGATGTCATATAATTTAATTACAATTTTTGACACCTAAATCAAGAATTTATAAATTTTGATAATAATCACAAATTAATAACATTCAATTTTGAAAAAAATATTTGTCAATCTTAATAAATCTACAATCCAAGAGATTTTCCCACTACTTATATATGTCATAAAAATTTAATACCCATTATGAGAACAAAAATCAAAAATAAAATTATCAAATAGAATAAATTATTATATTAGAAAAAATGAAATCACTATTAAATTTTAAATATTATTAAATAAAATAAAATTATCATATAATTAAAGATTTCCTTTCTCTCACCTCTCTTTTAAATCAAAGGTATATGTTTTTAATCATAAATATTTATTAATGAATATATCTTTTCAAAAAATGGTATATGTTTTTAATCTTAAATATTTATTAATGAATATATCTTTTCAAAAAATATAAAAAAGAGTTGTCTCATAAACATTGAATAAATATAGTTTAAATAAATATATCTGTAAAACATGCAAATTTTCATTTTAATTCTTTGAAAGCTATGATATATATATATATATATATATATATATATATATATATATATATATATATATATATATATATATATATATATATATATATATATATATATATATATATATATATATATATATATATATATATATATATATATATATATATATATATATATATATATATATATATATATATATATATATATATATATATATATATATATATATATATATATAATAAAGTGTTATTTTGCTATCCTATGTTTGATAAGTTTTTCAGGAACTTTATAAATATTGTTTTGATATCCTTCAAAGATGGTTGATAAATTCTTCAGAAATTTGTATAAATATTATTTTCTAATCAATATATTATAAATAACAGGTAGAAAATATATATTATAAAAAAATAATAAAATAATATTATCTTGCAAGTCTTGGAGTTTATTTGTGTTGATAACGTGAGACGAAGTAAAGAAAAAGAAGAGAAAAAATAGGATTGTATTATTCTTATTATCGGTGTCAATTTAAAGTATAATATGACTCATATTTATAGGACATATATAATAAATAAAAAATTAATTGAAATCTTATAATTGATGGACATCCATAATCATTCTATTTATAATGAGATACAATTAAAAAAATATTATTATATTTAAATGAAAAGTGTAACCACTATTGAATAATTTTTTTAACAAATACATCATTCATTATGAAAACAAGAATAAAAACGTGATTACACCCTTATTTTGTGATTATATGTAAAAATACAACTTTTTATTGTGAGAATTACTTTTTAATAATAATAAATGATTCTAGATAAATAATAATAAATGGTTCTAGATAAATAATATAAAATATTACTTTAATGTTTGAAATTCATATTTAAAAACTTAAAGAGATAAGTATACACTTAATACTAAGAGTTATTATAAATTAAATTAAATTTGTGCATTAAATTTAAAAATTGAAATTGAAAATACCAGCACAAAATGCATGTTTGTGGCACAAATGAAAAACATGTTTTGCAGAAAGCATGATAATCATGAAAAATTCATCGATTAATTATTATTTGTTTGTAATGAGGGCATGACATTTATTCTATAAAAAAGTATGATTCTATAAAAAAACTATTCATAAATTTTTTTGTCTTCATATATGGTAAATGAGTGAGAAAATAAAAAAAAATCACATTATTTTAACAGTTACAATTGTGTTTGGAAATATCAACCCAATTCAATTGTTCAAAAAATATTCATCTCTTCCTATAAATTGTTAGAAAGTCTTCAACTTAGACACACTTTCCATCATCAATTTGTTTATTTCTCCCATGGATAATGATGATTGTGATCTGTTTTCCATTTTGCATAGCTGCAATGCTAACACTTTCCAAACTCTTCCTCCACCTCAAAACCTAATTACCACCTCCACCATTACCAATAACATTATATCTCCTCAAAACACCACACCATCTTACTTTGATGATTTTTCTTTAACCCAAGAAAATAGATCTGTCAGTTTTTCTCCACTTAAACCAACTGATTTTATAGAGTTAGACAAATTAAAAACCAATTTCAATCCCACCACTACTATCTTAGCTTCCCCTACCTCCATTCCTATCCCTACCCACAAAACCACCTCTATAATCACTAATACTATTAATCATGACTCCAATCAAAATTTCAAATTTTTTGATTTCCCAACACTCATCCCAGAACCACAGATGCAAACAACTGATATTACTACCCATATTCCCACCATCAATAACCTTACCACCAATATTCCCAGTGCCACCTTTGCTAACCCTAGCCTTCCATCAAACATTTTTACCACAAGCTCCACAACCGCTGCTCCTTCTATCACTACCATGATTAATACTAGCACTAGTTTTCATGGAACCAATAACTATCCTAAGATACATAATTCCCCCAACGTCTTTGAACAACAACAGATCCAACAAAATCAAAACAATCATCTCTCTTCTATCAAACCTGTCACTTGCATTGAAATCACAAAGGCTCATTTTGATCTTGCTTACAACCATCCATCATTTTCTAAACAATACACAACAGACTGCAACCAACTGCCAAATCTACAACCCCATACAGACCCGCAACAAGAACTATGCAAAAATAGAAAAAGGTAAAGTATTTGTTCATATATTTTAATATCTTTAATCATTTATCAATCTTATTATGTCAAATTATTTTTGTTTCAACTTTTATTTTTTTCAGAAAGTTTGATAATCAGAAGATAGTAGAATGGCATATAAGTGTTGACAAGTTGGGTGAGGATCCATGGGAATGGAGAAAATATGGACAAAAACCCATTAAAGGATCTCGACATCTAAGGTATCTTCAAATTCGTGTAACTTTTACATATATTTCGTTTTCTTTTACCATTACATTATTATTTTTTGGTTGAAGGTTGTATGATCATGCAATTTAAAATAATTATAATCAAATAGTTGTCTTTGATGTTCAATTTTAATCATCTGTCGTTTTTTCATATTTTATTTAGTCATAGAAAAATTTATTAATTTCAAAATGAATTGTTTACTTATATTTAAAATAAAGTATTTTAGATTTTAAAGGGATGAATTCTAATAAATATGAATAAATGTGGCTAGGATTAATACAAACATTATTATTTTTTGGTTGAAGGTCGTATGATCCTGCAATTTAAGATGATTTTAGTCAAATACTTGTCTTTCATGTTCAATTTTAATCATCTGTTGTTTTTTCATATTTTATTTAGTCATACAAAAATTTATTAATTTCAAAATGAATTGTTTACTTATATTTAAAATTAATTTTTTTTAGATTTTAAAGGGATGAATTTTAATAAATATGAATAAATGTGGCTAGGACTAACACAAAACAAAGAAAGACCAAAAGCAAAAGTTTTTTTTTTTGCAAGAATGGAAATTAAAAATTATTTTTTCAAAGACTAAAAGAGAAAAAAAAAATTCTTGAGTTACTAAAACAATTTAAAATTTTTAATCAAATTCTAATATTTAAAATATATTATGTTCATCAAGCCTCATTCTACATTCTTCACTTTTAACTTTTAACTTAGGTTGATAGTAAATACAACAGTATTTGATAAGGTTAATTTGGTTAAACTAAAAAAAAATCATGTGTATTATATTTTTAACAAATGAAATAAATATGTGTGTGGCTTATAGATGTATAAAGATAAATCTCAAACATGTATACAAAACCTAACCAATATACTTATATGCATTTATATGGTTTTAGTAGTTAAAATACTACAAATTTATAGTGTTTGATAATGTATTAATGATTTTGCAGGGACTACTATAAATGTAGCAATTTCAAAGATTGTGTAGCAAAAAAACAAGTTGAAAAAAAACCAAACAAAGAGAATATTTATGTTGTGACATATATAGGAGAGCACAATCATCCAAAACCTGTTGTGAATTGGCCTCCTCATAAGAAATCATCAAAGAAGAAATCATCCAATGTCAAAAAATATGGATCTTTGTCAAATATTAGAAACTCTGGTTCTCAAAATATGGTGATGTCACATATTGATCAGCCAGAATGCAGCAATGCTCAGGTTCATCGACGTCAATCAAAAGTCAAGAAGACGAATGATAATCACATGTTGGAAACTTAAGTTTTCCTAAATTTACTATGCTACATTTTTATGAGCATGAGAAAGACAATGTTCTGACCTAAAGATCTTGTCCTCATTAAACATATATCTTGTTTAGAATAATATATGATTGAAGGTTTTTTCTAAATGATGCAATATTGCAAAAAAAATAATTATTATTAATTTCTCACTTTTATCTTAACCAATTACTCTTTATTATTTTTTTCTTTCTATTAACAAAGTGAGCAATTAATAAAATTTATTCGGAGCAAGTTTGTACACAATTAAGAAAAGACATTCAAATCAAGTAATTGAGTTTATATCAAGTTTGATTTAAATAAACAGAGTGGTTTGATTTTATTATATTGTCTCAACATGAATATTTGACTGAAAAGATAACTTTGAATGAGTTTAAATATTTAAGAAAAAAGAATAGATTTTAATTTTTTTATAATAAAATTTAATTTATTTCCTTAAATTCTTTGATACTCATTTTAACTAAATATTTACATTCATTAAAACTTATATAAGTAGCATTATAGGTTATCCCTCTTAAAATAAATCTAGGATAAAATTTTTGCTTCAAAGAAAGGGTCAAAAGATATACATAAGTTAAAATAATAAATAAATTTATGTCTTAATTTGGAATAACTAAGCCCTCAGAGATTAAAATTAAAATGATTTATTTCAAAAAATATCTAATTTTAAATTTACAGTGATTGATAAATTGTATTCGCAAGATACTAATAATATAGTAATTCATTGAGTTACCTTATGTTTTATGTGAAATTTACAGAATTTTAAATGTTAGATTTTATTTTGACAAGTTTTAAATGTTAGATAGAAATCAATCAATATATGATTGTTATTATAATTTATAGTTGAAGTTCAACGAATGCCTTCCTCTTTACCTTCAATGTTGTTGTAATAAAAAATATTAGATAAAATTAAAAAAAATTATTATATTGAAATTGAAAGTATGACTAAATGTAAAATTACAACTTTTTATAGTGATAATTACTTTTTTATCTAATAATAATAATAATAATAATAATAATAATAATAATAATAATAATAATAATAATAATAATAATAATAATAATAATAATAATAATAATAATAATAATAATAATAATAATAATAGTAATTGGTTCTTCTTGATAAATAAAATAATATATTACTCAAATGTTTGAAATTCATATATAAAAATTCAAAGAGATAAGTATACATTTAATACTAAGAGTTATTATAAATCAAATTAAATTTGTAAATTAAATTTAGAAATTAAAAATTTAAAAAAAAAAACTAGCTCAAAATGCATGTTCGTGGCACAAATGAAAAACATGCTTTGTATAAAGCATGATAATCATGAAATTTTTTATCGAGTGCTCATTATTTGTTTGCTAATGCAAAATTGACTCTATTAAAATATATTATTTTTAAATTGTTTCAATGATGCGCCTTTTTGTATAAACTTCTTATAATATTTTTAATCTGATTTATAATTCAACGATATAATTAACTAAATTAGTGATTTTTTCATAATTAAAAAGAAAATATTCTTAAATTTTTCTCTTCATATAATGGTCTTTGTCAATGTGTGAGATTTTTTTTTAATTAAAAAATCACATTATTTTAATAGTTACCATTGTCTTTGAAACTATCAACCCAATTTAATTTGTAAAAAAAAAGTTCATTTTTTCATATAAATTGTTAGAAAGTCTTCAACTTTAGATATACTCTCCATCATCAATTTATTCATTTCTCATATGGATAATGATGATTGTGATTTGGTTTCCATTTTGCATAGCTGCAAAGCTAACGCCTATTTTTCTCCTACCACCATTTTTTAAACTCTTCCTCTTTCTCCATCTCAAACCGTCATAAATTTCGTCATAGATGATTTTGTTTCAACGCGTAAGGATTATGCACTAAAAGTCAAGAGTTTATGATTTATTCTCGAACTATACACTAAAATAAATCGAAAATTTTGCATTTATTTAAAAAAATCACTTGCCAAACAAGACTTAGGAGCTTGGCTATATATTTTTTAAATTTAAAATAGAATCACTTTTGACTCTCATTATTCAAAAATCATTCAAAAATTTCAAGAGTTCTCTCTTCTCTATCAAGAGCACAAAATCTCAAGATCTTCAAGACTCTTCTCCCTCTCATCTCAAGGTTCTGATCTCTCTCTCCCTCACTCGTGGACCTCTATTTCTCCTCTCCCACTCTGCCCAGGCACTGCCGATCTCTCCAAAACCCCCTCCGTCCGGCGCACCCCCGTCTGACACCGGTTCTCCCTCCGTCTTTGCGGAATTATGGATGGTAGACACCTCCATTCATGCGCTTTCTTCTTCCGGTCATCATCTTCATCTCTTCGCGTCGATTCGGTATTTTCTTAAACTTGCTTGATTTAATTTTGAATTAAGTAATTCTCGAATTAAGTTGATTTTCAATTGAGTTGATTAATTGAATTAAGCATGATTTAATTATTTTTGAATTGAAATAGTTGTTTAATTGTTCATGAATCATGATGATAGAAAGTTGTGAAATGAGTTGAATACTTGATCAATTTGTATAGATCTCACGGATTTAGTTGATAAATTGTTGATGAGATTTTAATATCGATGTGAATTTTGAGTTGCTTGATTGATGAGAATTAACGCTTATTTCACAAGTTGATGCAATTTTTCGGTGTGATTTAATTGTCAATAATTGTTTGAATTAATTGTATCGGTGCTTTCTTTTTGATCCGATTAATTTTGTTGACACATGAGTGATTTTATTTGAAGCATGGGAACCGATACCTGTATGGATTTAATTCATTGAAATTTATTTGTGAATTTTAGGCAACTGAATCAATAATTGTTTTAATACATTCGATTGTAAATTTTCGAACTCGATTTTGGTTGATACCAAATTATGGAAGTTGTTGTCCGGAATTCACAAATCCATTATAATTTATGCTTTAAATGTTGATTGATGCATACATGAGTATAATTGTGCGTTTGTTGGACATTGATGTTGAGATTTATCGTTTTTCGACTCGATTTTTTGAGTAATTTTGGGATTGAATGTGGTGCTGCCCGGAGTCGGTAAATATGCATAAATATATGATTTAATAGTTGGTTAATGCATAGGTACGATTCCCTTGGTATTTGTTTGGCATTTGCGTTGAGGTTTGAGGATTTTAGATAGACTTTTTGCTCGGTTCATGAGATGGCGATGTTACTGCCCAGTTTTTAATTTCCATGTTTGGATGCTTATTTGGACTTGATTTCTTTACAATTCAATATTATTTTTGAGTTGTGACTTGATGCTCGAGTTATGATTATGCTTCATTGTTATTGCTAACTTGTTTGGTGGGTTTGTGCAAGCTTCTGAAGGAGTATTTGTGAGATGTGTGATTTATGGAATATGTTGTGCTTGTGTAAAGTTGTTTTGTGCAGGACCATAGCTTGATGCTTGTTCCGCATGTGATGTATTTTCACATTGCGATGTTTTTATGCTTATCTTGTGCCTATGATTTCTAATTTCTATTGTTTTCTTGGTGAAGTTTGCACGAAGACCATCAGGTTTATTTGCTTTTGTCTGATAAACAACAGACTATTTGTTTGTTTGGTATTGTTTCTGATTCTGCTTATATTCCGCATTATATTTTAAATTCCTTGCCATGAGAAATAGGAATAGAGATTCATGATTGGGAGTCCCTACTTAAGGTGGGCAATTCTGCTTAAAGTCCTCAAAGGAGGCAATGCTTGTGTTTGTTTAAAGACCTACAAAGGAGGCAACGTCTGTGTTTGTTTAAAGACCTAAAAAAGAGGAAATTTTTCTAAATTCCTCAAAGAAGGAAATCCCCCCCCCCCCCTTACTTCGTGCTTGCAATCGAGTCAATATAAAGTGGAACAATATAGCTCACAATCAGCCCCCATACTTTTCTTGTCTGTTTCATTCTTAGCACACGTCATACGTTGATGCTTTGAATCGCCCGTCTCTTGTCCTCGAGTCAATAAAGGTGGAAAGGGATTGCAATCATCCCCCACACCTTGTCATTGCTTCGGCGATATTAGTTACGTTGCTCGACGTTGATGCTTCGAGTTGTTACTCGATTTGATTGAGTTATTGTAGTAGTAGAAGGGTCTTTCGACTCATTTACCTTAGGTGCTTGTACAAATAGCTCATGGTGTCGATGCTTGTTCGCATCCTTTGTTTTTGTATTTTCTTACACTTTTACTTGATCTTTTAGGCTTGTCTTTGTATGTTCCCTTAGGTTCATTTATTTTGTTCTCGATTCAAGTTAGACATTAGGTTCGTAATCCATGCATGCTAACTTAGGTAGATATTTATCTTCCATCCTTAACTTTAGTACCATCATTGTATGATAACACTAGGGATAAAACTAAGTTAGTCTCCTTTAGACATTTTCTCTTCCCCTTTTTCATAACTAAAACTAAAACTTTTTTCTTTGGAAAATTCATAAAACACTCTAACATTACTTAAATCCTTTTTTAAGATAAAAAATATCAACCAATACAAACTTTTTTGTCTCTGGACCCTTTTTCTTTTAAAATCTTTTCAGATAAGAATATGTTAATTCTTTTCTACTACAATGTGTGAGTCTCCAAAGGTCGAGCTGCTGTAAAATACGAAATTAGTATTGTTCATAAAAAATATACAACAAACCAAAAAAATTTAGGTGAACTACGAGTGTCTTGATCTCTCATTTCACGAAGAGGGTACATAGACACAAATATTCGCAACCGAGGGATGCACGACTAATAAAACAGTTTTCTTTGTATATACACTTTGCATCCATGCATTTAGCTTGTAAGCTTTAGATATGAATACACCCTTTGATTAGAATAACAAGAGTGGATTCCGTGGAGTACCATGAACGTGAGGGGTGCTAATATCTTCATCTTGCGTAATTGACTCCCGTACCCGATCTCTCGGTCGTAAGATCACGGTTTCTCCCTTCTCGGGTTTTTCTTTGATGATTTTCCTTTCCCTTCCCGTGG